CCCCTCCCTGTGGCTCCAAATCTGCACTGCCCTCTGTGGTAGCCACTAGCCACCTGTGGCTATTTAAATTTAAATTTTAATTAATTAAACCTAAATAAAATCTGAAATTCGTTTCCTCAGCCTCACTAGCCACATTTGAAGTGCTCAATAGCAACATGTGGTTAGTGGCTACCATTTCAGACAGTGCAGATACAGAACGTTTGCATCATCACAGGAAGTTCTATTGGACAGGGCTGCTCTAAATCTTTCCTTAGAAGACTCATCCCCTGCTTATGAGGCTCTGCAACTTCACTCCATGAGCACAATCTGCACACCCCGCATCAGCAAGGGCAGGGCAAGAACAGAAAAAAAAATTTCTTTTTTCAGACAGAGTCTCGCTCTGTCATCTGGGCTAGAGTGCTGTGGCGTCAGCCTAGCTCACAGCAACCTCAAACTCCTGGGCTCAAGTGATCCTCCTGCCTCAGCCTCCCGAGTAGCTGGGACTACAGGCATGTGCCACCATGCCCGGCTAATTTTTCTGTTTTTAGTAGAGACAGGGTCTCGCTTTTGCTCAGGCTGATATTGAACTCCTGGGCTCAAATGATCCTCCTGCCTCTGCCTCCCAGAGTGCTAGAATTACAGGCGTGAGCCATCATGCCCAATCAATAAAAAATTTTTTTGAAAGATTTTGACATTTATTTCCTAAACAGTATCAATTATCATGGGGGGGAAAAACAGAACTTTGTTGGACTTTCTTATACCTATTTTGCAGTTTATTAATGTCTCTGTATTAAATTATAAACCACAGGTACACCAGGAAGATGGTATCAAGTCATCTTAGATTAACACCATTCACTATTCAATTCCTACAACCAACTCCCCTTGCTCTGATTTTGTTATTACCAAATTTTCTTTTAAAATTTTGTTTGTTAAAATGTTGCTAGCAGAAGTAGGTAGATACATAGCTAAAGAAGCTTAAGCTTTAAGCTTGTTAGTTCCCCTGGCCCTTTTTGAGGCCAGTGTTGGAGGGATCTCACAGTGTGTCCACATGGGCACATGCTTTTGGAAAATTGTCATGGGTAAGGCAATTTTGCTTCAACCAATTAAGACCGCTAGCTCTTTTTGTCCAGTATTCTCCTTTGCCTCATGTCAGGTGATAGTGGAGTGGGCCACGGATGCGGGGAAATGACATGTGATATGTTTAGTGGGATAGATTTATGTGGTCTGTAGTCTTTTCCACCTATAATTATTGCTAGCCAGCCTGGGGCAGGAATACCCTACCTCCCTCTGTCCTGACCTATCTGGAACAGGGCACAAAGTGGGTGACATGGAGGAGCAGGGCCAGAGGTCACATCACAGTAGAAACATGCCCTGTAGTACCTGGCACTGACAGACTTTGTGGGTTCTGCAGAAGGAACAAGATGTGAAACATAAAGAACCAGAAGCTGATGTGTAGAAAATTCTTCCAGCCATCAGACAGGTGAAATTGTAAGTGGAGGGTTCTTCTTACTCTAGTCAAAATCAAAGTGCTTTCAGAGACGTCCTCGCTAAAACTGCGCATGTAATTACAAACACACCAACCCTCCTTTTCCCTGTCTTTTGATGGGCATTAGGCAAATAAAATTTATCAGGATTCCTGCGTAGGACACAAACATGTAGCAGTAAAACAATCAGAGAGGGGAGTGCGTTTGCGTGTAGAGTCTTAGGGTTTTATGCATCAGATCGCATCTTAGTATATCTGACACATCTTGCCCTGACAAAGTCTGGTGATTCCAGAGGACATCGCATGCCAGGTTGCTACCAATGCAGTGAAACTGCCTGAAGAAACCACATACACATCATAGAGCAAAAGACAGAAAACAAAGGAACGCTCGAGAGAGAAAGCATCATATAAAATGAGATGCCAGGATGACAACCAAACCCATCCATCATATCACATCAATAAATGCAAATGGAGCGAGCCTAGTTTGGAAAGAAAATCTATGCTGTGTCTTTGGATCAGACGTCTCTTAATGCCACATCAGAGCCTCACAGTCCTCCAGGGCCTTCGACCTATCCTGTCCTAGCCTCTCTCTAGTGACCAGCTCTGCTTGGGCTCCCACTGACTTTATGCAGAAACAATTCCTGCACCTGCCCTCATGGCCACACCATACCATTTTGCCCCCAAGACAGCTGGTCCCAAGAGTGGACCTGGGAAGAAGACTCTCGGGACAGGGTTGTGAAATGGGATTACTTACTGTGCTGATGACAGTAGGGACACTATTACTAGTGGCAAGTGGTTTGTGATAACCCTTGGCATGAAGTGGCATCAAAATTTCTAAGGTTTTCACCTGCAGTTAACTGGGGAAGGGCTGGTGAGAGGTGAAATTGGGCTGGGAAGAGGGGTGGGTGCCTAAGGCATTTGATTGGTATGGAAACAATAATGATTATAAGAAAAGTGGAGTGGGACAGCTTTTATTAACAGCAATGAAACCTTGCAAAAAAGAAAATAATAGGCTCAGGGTACCTAACAGCCAACTTTAGATACGTAAAAGCCACGGGAAGCTTTACAGCAGCTTTTTTAGTTTCTTAAGCTCATGAAGCAAAACAGTATTTTTTAAAGTTTATTTATTTATTTATTTACTTCGAGACAAGATCTTGCTCTGTTGCCCGGGCTAGAGTGCAGTGGCGTGATCATAGCTCACTGCAACCTTGAACTCCTGGGCTCAAGCCATCCTCCTGCCTCAGCCTCCTGAGTAGTTGGGACTATGGGCATGTGCCACCATGGTGGCTAATTTTTTATGGCAGCTTTTAAGGAGAGACTCTCATCTCCTGAAGCTTCAGGGCCAACTGCTAAAAATCAGGCTCGGCGTGTGATGGTATGGCAAGGAGCTGGCAAAGGAGTCCGAATGTGCAGCCTCTACAGTTCTCCTGTCAAACTCATGGCCCCAGTAGGAAAAGAGTGGGACCCTGGATTGGGGACATTGGGTGGATGAGCCTGAAAATCTTGAAAACCTTGAAACTTGCTCACAACAATTAGGTGGAGATACCAAAATTTCCTTGACACCGTATTGAAGTGAGGGAGAGAGGAATGTGAGAATGGATTTACTATGTAAGACCTGAGAACGCACCACCTGCCTCTGCCCACACAGGCCCAGAGGCAACAGGGAAGTGGGATATCTGGAGATGCCCCTTGTGTTCGATGGGCATAGATGCTAACATGGGGCTGGACTCCCAAGTCAAGGTGGACGATGGGGTTCCGGAATGGCACAGGCCTGATGGCAGCACTCACCTGCCAGCAAGGTAGACGTATTTGCTGGAAGCAGCAGCAAGGCCGGAGTAGGCAGTTAGGGTGCCTTGACAATCTTTATGGTCTTGCTAGGGTTGAGATAGATGGGCCACCCCTAGGGGTGATACTTGATTGATACTAAAAAAAAGTCTAGAGCCGATGGGCAAAAGACTGATGCTGACTGAAATGGAAAATTATGGTCCCTCATCCGTTTCCAGACCTGAATCAGTTTTCAGATGCAAATCCATTGATTGAAGGAGAGGCCCGGTCCTCCTGAGAAATGCCACCGCCACAATTA